AGTCAAGCAAGCATAGAAGGCTTTTGTTGCCTAAGCAATCAATCTAGCACCCTAAGATGATCAAGCAACAAAGAGAATAAAGAAAAAGGCAGTTTAAACAAGATTAAGCAAGCAAAACAGAGCAAAACAGAGCAAAGGGAAAAGCAAGTTCCTAGATGTGGTTATTGACTTTGGGAAATTCAAGAACTAACTAAGGCTGTTTCAAACAGCATTGATCAAGCAAACAAGCTAGAAATGGTGATTCCTAGACATAGAGTTCACAAACAAGCAAGCTAGATCCAATGTCTTGTAAAATAGCCCTTTGCTAAACACCTTAACAAGAACTAACTCTCATTAGTGCTAAAACATTCAGCAATCATTAATAAACAACTCTATTCAAGTCAAAATGCTCCTCAAACAGTCAATATCTTGAGCCAAGGCCAGCAAATCCTCTATCAAACAAGATCAGTATTTCATCAATCACTTGGTGGGCATAAGAGAAAGCCTAAATTCTAAATAAGTGTGATCAAGATAAATCTAGTTTAAGAACAGATCAATAGAGAGGAACCCATATAATGAAGCACTGAACAAACCTTAATCAAGTCCTAAATTCCCTTAATCTACCACATCTAGAAACCCTAAGCAAACTACTCACTAATGGCCATGTTTAACACCAAATCACAAGAGGAAAAGATGCTAATCATGATTAAAAGAGAGATTAAAGGTAAATACAAACTTATATTAAATAAAGCAAAAACTTTGTCTTACAAACTCAAAGAAAATACTTAAGAACAGTAAATTGACATGACTTCTTGAAAATCCCAGAAAATGGGCTATTTATAGGCAAAAGAAGGAAGCCCCTAGAGTAATGGCAAAAGTGTAAATAAAACAGACTCGAACGTGGTTCCTATTGGTAATTTTATCGGTCTAAGCTTGATCGATATGAATCATATCGGTCTAGAAGGTGTCTGATATGGTGACCAAAATATACTCGGTGCATTTGTATCGGTCACTTCCTGACCAATAGCTTTGATCGATATGGTTTGTATCGGTCACTCCTTGACCGATATTCTTGATCGATATGGCTTGTATCGGTCACTCCCTGACTGATAGCCTCCGTGCACATACCGATAGGCTCTGCAGAGATCGTCTGCCTTGGTCCCTTTTGCTCCTTTGGCCCAACTAGCTTCCTGGATCATCCTCAAAGCTTCCCCGAGCTCCTTTTAGCTCCATAAGCACCTAAAAACATCCATAATGCAAGAAGAATGCAAACTATATCCAAAATGCAACCTAAGTCTAAAAGGAGAAGGAAATAGGACAAAAACTCAGGAAAACATGCAAAAGAGAACCAAAACATGTACTAAATGCAAGCCTAAATGGTGTAAATACAAGAGATACCACATAACCACAAGAGTTCTGATTTCCTGTAACGTTACTCCTCTGATTGTTCCCACTAAAACCTCTATTTTCCTGATTACCAAACCTTTGACCCTGAAATCTAGCTCCATTAATGTAGTTGACATCTTTATCCTCATATTCGTCAGCTGGTTTGAATGTCTCTACTTCAGCAGCTAACTGAACTGACTACTTACCCACTAGAAGATTGTGTATAGAGTCCAGCTTGGCCTTCACCTCAGCAATCTGATTGCTATCCATGTTTCCAGCAAGCTTCTTTTTCTCAGGATCTCTATTCTTGTAACTATTGCTATATGCCAAGTTCTCTATCAGTGTATAAGCATCTTTTGGATATCTGGTGTTCAAGTTCCCATTGCTGACAGTATCTAAAGCCATCTGATACCTCCAGTCAATGCCCCTGAAGAAAATGCTCAGCAGATGCACGTCATTGAAGCCATGGTGTGGGCAGTCTCTCTGATATGCTATGAATCTCACCCAAGCAGCCTTTAATGATTCAGTTGGTCCTTGAGATAAGGAAGAGAATTTTGCTCTCAACTCTTCTGATCTTGAATCATCATAGAAGTTATTGAGGAATGTGTTCCTGGTGTCCTCCTAAGTAGTAAGTGATCCTGGTTGCAGCTGTTTCATTCAATAAGTTGCATCCCCACAAAGAGAGTATGGGAAAAGCTTGCCGAAAAGGTAGCCATTGCTGATTCCATTGGCTTTAATGCTGGTCACCAGGTCCCCAAACTTCTCTATGTGGTCTACATGATGCTCATGAGGGATACCATGGAAGATATGATGACCCACAAGTGTGTAATATGCAGGCTTCAGCTCGAAATCATACCTCTGAAAAGCAGGAGGGCGAATGGCAGCTCTATTTGCATAGAACTGATCAGGTCTGTTATAATCTCCCGGAGTGCGCCCATGCCCAACAGCATTCCCTGCAGCTCGTTGCTTCTCTTGGTGCCTCACTGGTTCCACTGCTTATTCAACTATTATAGTCCCATCACCGGCCAGTTTCTATCCTTGAGCATTACGCCTATTTCCTTCCTCATCATGCAGCAAACCATCTTCATCCTGAGCTAACACATTCGGATCTCCTCTCCAGGTGTGCTAGTTCTTGATTATCTAGTCTAATTAGGTTTTGATCCTTGTTGCTTCTTGTACTGCGATTATGCATACACCTGAAACACACAAGAGCAAGAGACAGAAAACGTTATTAACAGATACAAAAATAAAATTTAGACACAATTTAAAACTAAAATTCGGTAGGCAACTATTAAGTCTCCGTCAACGGTGCCAAAAACTTGATAGGTGTAAATATCTACCCAAATAAAATCACTGCAAGTGCATAAAAAAAAACAGTTGTAATACAAGGGGTTATCGAATCCCAAGGACTTAAATTGTCACACAACAGATTTCAGATTCGAATTTAGCTAAGAGAATATATGAATGTAAAGTAAATAAATAATAAAAAAGACAGCATATGATTGATTGTAAGTTCTTAAAATCAAAGAGACAAGTTGCTAGGCTTTGAGAAATTTTCAGGCTGAATTCTAAGTTGCAGAATGAAATCTGTCAAGATATTTATCAAGCACTATTCCAGAACTTGAAATACAATTCTAAAACCAATCAACTTCCGTTGCAGAGATTATCTATGTCTAAATCATAGAATTCCAAATTCCTTTGCAAATTCAAACAATTTAAACAAACAGTAAATTCAGGTTTGGTTATTCCGAAATTTTCTAAACCAAATTCATTTGCAGAAAGATATTTTGCTCATCTAAGATTAGTTCTGGCGATTAACAATACTTCCGCATCTATTAATCAACCTAAGATCTGATTTCTAGGTGATCAATCCTAAAAATAGTATTAATTCAATCTAAATGACGAACTAAACAGATTTATCCTAACAGTATTTCGATTCTAACAACTCATCAGCAACCTTTGAAAAACCAAAACTTTAACTAGCAGATTGCTCATACACAATGAATAAACAAAATATTATGAAAGAAGTAAATTACATAAAAGATAAGAATAAGATACAAAGGGAGTTCAAAATTCTCTATAAGAACAGAGTATGGATTTGACTCCCCAAAATCTCCTGATCTAATCTCTCTCTGAGTTTTAATGAAAATAAGAGATAATGGCCTAACAATGGCTCTGAAAACCTAAATATATTTCTAAAATACAAGTGGGGTAAGTTGCAAATAATGGAAGCTTCTATGCCAAATTGCAATATCCTCAAAGTCTTTAAAATCCCGCGAACAAGTGTAATCCTCGTCTCCGACTTCATCTTTTCAGCAACAATTTCAACAATACTCCTAAATGCTCCAAAATCTCCAAATATGCTACAAATGTACCTGAATCTACAATGACTCGAAAAGACTAAAAATAATATCAAAAAGACCAAGACTTGTATTATGGTCAAAAACCCAGGAAAATCATGATATATCAACCTTCTTGCAGAAGTGTTTGAAAGCCATACTTTCAATAAAAGAGAGTGGCAATTCCTCAATCATAATGATCTCATTTGTAGCCTTTTGAATACTTTCTTAGACACTTTCGCATCCTTCAGACCTCCATCATCCTAATTAATGATTTTCTGAGTCACATTCTCTTGCCATTCTTTGAAATGTTTGCAGCATGGTTTAATTAAGTTTGGTTGAGATTTTATGGTCTATCTTGTAAGTTGTGAATAATCAGTTGGTGTAGCTCAAGAACTAGTACATTTATACTTTTGTAGAGTTCCTTATAATCTTCTTTAGTAACTTACAAGTGTATTGTATCTCTTATTTGTATAGTTCGTTAGGAGACAAGAAATCTTCACAATCATCCTTCAGATCTCCTTCACAATCATTTACATAAGTGTCTAAATAAAATAGTACACAGTAAAAAACCACATAAAACAATAAAACATAACATGGTAATGAGATACTAGAAATCAAAAATATATACATCTGGTGTTAGTAATTGTGATAAAATTCTGATTCGGTAAGCAAAATTATATAGTTAGAAGCAAAATCCAGAAACTACACACAATGTTGATTGAATCAACTTAAGTAGAAGAAGAAGATGCATACCTGAGATCAATTTCTTAAAGCCTCAGAAGGAGGAGAAAGTGGTCAGTAAAAATATAGAAATTCTAGATTTACTTGTTTCGATTAGCGGATTTTGCTTTTAAATATCCGAGAAGTTGAAGAGAGATATGGATACTGGATTGACGGTTTGAGGTTTCCAGAATATATTCAACTAGTATTAGCCCCGTACTTCGTACAGGCATCATATTTTGTTATACGATTGTGTTTAGAACATCAATCACCATTTTGTTCTTGTGACTTGTACTTTAGTTGTGTATGAGAGTTTCTATCAGCATATAAATAAAGAAAGTGATCTCATGTAGCACTTGTATCCATAAAATTATTTATAATATTTATGAAAGATAATTTGTTTGAAATCAAAACAAATTAACATTGTACAGACTACAGAAGCACTTCGTAAATTTTTCTCCGAAGACAATCAACTTAGATTCCTGTTTAATTTGCACATTTGAAGCATATGCATCTTCTAGATCCACATTGCACCATCCTTGTTTCCTGCTCTTTGTTGTTAGCATATCTAAGTCAATCTCTCATTTTAGGTTCTTCAGGATTTACTGGAAAACTAAAAACATGTGTGTTATGTTAAAGTGATTTTAAACTTGATTTGGGAAACTATAAAGAATCAAAGAAGAAAGGAACCAGCAGAAACTTACTTGATTTGAAATCCACATGACTCTGGCACCGGACGATTAGGATTTTCTGTGCCTTCTCCACAAAAGCACATCGCTCTTGTGGTATCACAAAATGTCTAAAACAAATCGAAACAACCCATTGATCATATGGCATCTTATGTATTTTCTCATAATTGCAATCTAGCCGCAGCTTTTGCGAACAATCTTCTACTACACAAAACCAGTCAAAGTAATATTATTTAGGCACTTATGTGAATGATTGTGAAGGAGATCAAACTCTTTCACAAAAAAAAAAGGAAATCAAACTCATTCCTGCTGCTAATTATTTTGCAGGATTGTATTTGACTTATCATTTACAATGTAATCAACTTTGGATTTAAGAAGATTTAAATAGCATAAATACTAACCAGTAAATCAATGGAAGCAACGGCAAATTCCAAATTTGTGGTTACAAATTCCTTGGCCACAAGTATTAAATCATAACCACCAGCAGCTCCAAATTTATCAATGTCTTGGATTGACCACATAAGGGTACCTCAAGTTACGATCTCCCTATTAAAATAACAACAAAAGATTTAAAAATGGAGATTGTGGTATAAGATACTATATAGCAAATGATGAGTAACAAAAGAAAAGGTTGTATAGGCATACATACAACAAGTATTAAATCAAGTCCCCCAGCATTTCCAGTCTTGTCCGTGTTTTGGAATCGCCACACACGGGCAACTCGAGTTTTAATCTTCCAAACTTCAATATCAGAAACGGGTTTTAGTTGAGCTATTGGTGTGAAAGGAAGCTTCATCTTTTAAGCGATTGCAGTCTGCAGTACCTGAAAGAAAATTGCAGAGAAGAAACTTCAATTACAGATCTATGGAGTTTTAAAAATTAAAAATAAAAGCCTAGAAATCGAGAATCTAAAAGATCACCTAATGTAATTATTGTTCAGCATATTAATGAGAGTTTCTATCAGCATATAAATGAAGAAAGTGATCTCATGTAGCACTTGTATCCATAAAGTTATATAAAATATTTATGAAAGATAATTTATTTGAAATCAAAACAAATTAACATTGTACAGACTACAGAAGCACTTCGCAAATTTTTCTCTGAAGACAATCAACTTAGATTCCTGTTTAATTTTCACCTTTGAAGCATATGCATCTTATAGATCAACATTGCATCATCCTTGTTTCCTGCTCTTTGTTGTTAGCATATTTAAGTCAATCTCTCATTTTAGGTTCTTCATGATTTACTGGAAAACTAAAAACATGTGTGTTATGTTAGAGTTATTTTAAACTTGATTTGAGAAAGTATACAGGATCAAAGAGGAAAGGAACCAGCAGAAACTTACTTGATTTGAAATCTACATGACTCTGGCACCAGACGATTAGGATTTTTGTGCCTTCTCCACAAAATCACATCGCTCTTGTGGTATCACAAAATTTCTAAAACAAATCGAAACAACCCATTGACCATATGGCATCCCATGTGTTTTCTCATAATTGCAATCTAACCTCAGCTTTTGCGAACAATCTTCACCTACACAAAACCAGTCAAAGTAATATTATTTAGGCACTTATGTAAATAATTGTGTAAGTAGATCAAACTCTTTGACCAAAAAAAAAAAGAAATCAAACTCATTCCTGCTGTTAATTATTTTGCAGGATTGTATTTGACTTCATCATTTACAAAGCAATCAACTTTGGGCTTAGAGAAGATTTAAATAGCATAAATACTAACCAGTAAATCAATGGAAGCAACGGCAAATTCCAAATTTGTGGTTACAAATTCCTTGGCCACAAGTATTAAATCATAACCACCAGCAGCTCCAAATTTATTAATGTCTTGGAATGACCACATAAGGGTACCTCAAGTTACGATCTCCCTATTAAAATAACAACAACATATTTAAAAATGGAGATTGTGGTATAAGATATTATATAGCAAATGATGAGTAACAAAAAAAAGGTTGTATAGGCTTACATACATTTTCATCCACAAGTATTAAATCAAGTCCCCCAGAGTTTCCAGTCTTGTCCGTGTTTTGAAATCACCACACACGGGCAACTCGAGCTTTAATCTTCTAAACTTCAATATAAGAAACGGGTTTTAGTTGAGCTATTGGTGTGAAAGAAAGCTTCATCTTTTAAGAGATTGCAGTCTGCAGTACCTGAAACAAAATTGCAGAGAAGAAACATAAATTACAGATCTATGGAGTTTGAAAAACTGAAAATAAAAGCCTAGAAATCGAGAATCTAAAAGATAACCTAATGTAATTATTGTTCAGCATATAAATGAGAGTTTCTATCAGCATATAAATGAAGAAAGTGATCTCATGTAGCACTTGTATCCATAAAATTATTTATAATATTTTGTGAAAGGTAATTTGTTTGAAATCAAAACAAATTAACATTGTACAGACTACAGAAGCACTTCGCAATTTTTTTCTCCGAAGACAATCAACTTAGATTCCTGTTTAATTTGCACCTTTGAAGCATATGCATCTTCTAGATTTCTGTTTAATTTGCACCATCTTTGTTTTCTGCTCTTTGTTGTTAGCATATCTAAGTCCATCTCTCATTTTAGGTTCTTCAGGATTTACTGGAAAACTAAAAACATGTGTGTAATGTTAGAGTGAATTTAAACTTGATTTGGGATACTATAAAGAATCAAAGAGGAAAGGAACCAGCAGAAACTTACTTGATTTGAAATCCACATGACTCTGGCACCGGACGATTAGGATTTTCTGTGCCTTCTCTACAAAAACATCACTCTTGTGGTATCACAAAATATCTAAAACAATTATGAAAAAATTATTCTTTAAAAAAAATATAAAAATTACAGATGTCAAATGGAGAATTGTCAATTGATCTCTGATTTATAAGTATAGAGATTATTTTTTTTAAATAAATATGAAAATGAGAGATGCCAAATGGAGAATTGTCAATTGACTTCTGATTTATAACTTTAGAGAATAAATAATTAAATAGTTTTTATATATCGGAGAGAGTGGGAAGATAAATTGGGGAATGGAGATTGTGGTATTATGCAAAGAACGTGTTTTTCTATGTTAGTTTAAGAAAATGCAAAATTTTCGATTAATCCGGTAAAGATTTATGTAAATCAAATGATGAATCTGACAATAAAAATAAAAATTCAAATAAATCAAAATCCAGAAAAATAGCCAATTTTGTTTTTGAAATCAATTCTCAATCAGAAAGACTGGTTTAGTAGCCGGTCGATGAGCATATCGTAATACCTGATCGGAGGTGATGAAACTTGGATAAAATCAAATCCATGAAAGCTTGCTCCAACCTTTCCAAGCGAGATCGATGGTCAGCCACCTGTCTCAAATTGGCGATTGAATTTGCTAAATTCTCTTCAACCACTTTCATGATCTGAGAAACCATGTCAATTTTATGGCAATTTGAAAAATTATTTCTGTTTTTAAAAATCTGGAAGTTTGTAGAAAGATTTTTATTTTGAGAACTGAGAAAAAGAAAGAAAAAGGAAGAAGATTATGGAAATATTCGAAAAGACTGGTTTAGCAGCTGGCCGATGAGCATATCGTAATACCTGATCGGAGCTGATGAAACTTGGATAAAAATCAAATCCATGAAAGCTTACTCTCACCTTTCCAAGCGAGATTGATGGTCAAGCCGCCTGTCTCAAATTGGCGATTGAATTTGCTAAATTCTCTTCTACCACTTTCACGATCTGAGAAACCCATGCCAATTTTTTGACAATTTAAAAAATTGTTTCTGTTTTTTAAAATCTGGAAGTTTGTAGAAAGATTTTTATTTTGAGAACTGAGAAAAAGAAAGAAAAAGGAAGAAGACTATGGAAATATTCGGTATCATCGATGCCTTTTACTTGTTGGAATATTTAGAAAGAGAAAATAATAATTTAATGAGCAAATCAAAAAAGGAAAAAAATCTCATTTTCAGCATAATTTTTGTAATTAAGTTGAAGAAATTATTTTTAAAAAAAATATATGAAAATGACAGATGTCAAATGGAGAATTGTCAATTGACTTTTGATTTATGAGTATAGAGATTAAATAGTTAAACAGTTTTTATATATCAGAGAAAGTGGGAAGTTAAATTGGGGAATGGAGATCGTGGTATTATGCAAAGAACGTGTTTTTCTATTTTAGTTTAAGAAAATAAAAAATTTCGATTAATCCGGCAAAGATTTATGTAAATCAAATAATTAATCTGAAAATAAAAATAAAAATTCAAATAAATCAAAATCCAAAAAAATAGCCAATTTTGTTTTTGAAATCAATTCTCAATCAGAAAGACTGGTTTAGTAGCCGGTTGATGAGCATATCGTAATACCTGATCGGAGCTGATGAAACTTGGATAAAATCAAATTCATGAAAGTTTGCTTCCACCTTTCCAAGCGAGATCGATGGTGAGTCGCCTGTCTCAAATTGGTGATTGAATTTGCTAAATTCTCTTCTACCATTTTCACGATCTGAGAAACCCATGCCAATTTTATGGCAATTTGAAAAATTATTTCTGTTTTTAAAAACTTGGAAGTTTGTAGAAAGATTTTTATTTTGAGAACTGAGAAAAAGAAAGAAAAAGGAAGAAGACGATGGAAATATTCAAAAAGACTGGTTTAGTAGCCGATCGATGAGCATATTGTAATACCTGATCGGAGCTGATGAAACTTGGATAAAATCAAATCCATGAAAGCTAGCTCCCACCTTTCCAAGCAAGATCGATGGTCAGCCGCATGTCTCAAATTGGCTATTGAATTTGCTAGATTCTCTTCTACCACTTTCACGATCTGAGAAACCAATGCCAATTTTATGGCAATTTAAAAAATTGTTTCTGTTTTTAAAAATCTGGAAGTTTGTAGAAAAAATTTTATTTTGAAAACTGAGAAAAAGAAGGAAGAAGACGATGGAAATATTCGGTATCATCGATGCCTTTTACTTCTTGGAATATTTAGAAAGAGAAAATATTAATTTAATGAGCAAATTAGAAAAAGAAAAAAAATCTCATTTTCAGCATATTTTTGGAATTAAATTGAAATAATTATTTTTTAAATATATATGAAAATGACAGATGTCAAATGGAGAATTGTCAATTGACTTCTGATTTATCAGTATAGAGATTAAATAGTTAAACAGTTTTTATATATCGGAGAAAGTGGAAAGTTAAATTGGGGAGTGGAGATTGTGGTGTTATGCAAAGAACGTGTTTTCTATTTTAGTTTAAGAAAATGCAAAATTTTCGATTAATCCTACAAAGATTTAATGTAAATCAAATAATGAATCTCACAATAAAAATAAAAATTCAAATAAATCAAAATCCAAAAAATAGCTAGTTTTGTTTTTGAAATCAATTCTCAATCAGAAAGACTGGTTTATCAGCCGGTCGATGAGCATATCGTAATACCTGATCAGAGCTGATGAAACTTACATAAAATCAAATCCATGAAAGCTTGCTCCCACTTTTCCAAGCGAGGTCGATGGTCAGCCGTCTGTCTCAAATTGGCGATTGAATTTGCTAAATTCTCTTCTACTACTTTCACGATCTGAGAAACCCATGCCAAATTTATGACAATTTGAAAAAATTGTTTCTGTTTTTAAAAATCTGGAAGTTTGTAGAAATATTTTAATTTTGAGAACTGAGAAAAAGAAAAAAAAATGAAGAATACAATGGAAATATTTGAAAATATTGGTTTAGTAGTCGGTCGATGAGCATATCGTAATACCTGATCGGAGCTGATGAAACTTGGATAAAATCAAATCCATGAAAGCTTGCTCCCACCTTTCCAAGCGAGATCGATGGTCAACCGCCTGTCTCAAATTGGCGATTGAATTTGCTAAATTCTCTTCTACCACTTTCACAATCTGAGAAACCCATGCCAATTTTATGGCAATTTGAAAATTTGTTTCTGTTTTTAAAAATCTGGAAGTTTGTAGAAATATTTTTATTTTGAGAACTGAGAAAAAGAAAAAAAAAGGAAGAAGTCGATGGAAATATTCGGTATCATCTATGCATTTTACTTGTTGGGATATTTAGAAAGAAAAAATAATAATTTAATGAGCAAATTAAAAAAGGGAAAAAAAATCTCATTTTCAGCATACTTTTTGGAATTAAGTTGAAAAAATTATCTTTTTAAAAAATATATAAAAATGACAGATGTCAAATGGAGAATTGTCAATTGACTTCTGATTTATAAGTATGAACATTAAATACTTAAACAGTTTTTATATATCGGAGAAAGTGGGAAGTTAAATTGGAGAATGGAGATCGTGGTATTATGCAAAGAACATGTTTTCTATTTTAGTTTAAGAAAATGTAAAATTTTTTATTAATCCGACAAAGATTTATGTAAATCAAATAATGAATCTTACAATAAAAATAAAAATTCAAATAAATCAAAATCCAGAAAAATAGCCAATTTTGTTTTTGAAATCAATTCTCATTCAGAAAGACTGGTTTAGTAGTCGGTCGATGAGCATATCGTAATACTTTATCGGAACTGATGAAACTTGGATAAAATCAAATCCATGAAAGCTTGTTCCCACCTTTCCAAGCGAGATCGATGGTCAGCCGCCTGTCTCAAATTGGCGATTGAATTTGCTAAATTTTCTTCTACCACTTTTACGATTTGAGAAACCCATGTCAATTTTATGACAATTTGAAAAATTGTTTCTGTTTTTAAAAATCTGGAAGTTTGTAGAAAGATTTTTATTTTGAGAACTGAGAAGTAGAAAGAAAAAGGAAGAAGACGATGGAAATATTCGATATCATCGATGTCTTTTAGTTTTGGAATATTTAGAAAGAGAAAATAATAATTTAATGAGCAAATTAAAAAAGGAAAAAAAATCTCATTTTCAACATACTTTTTAGAATTAAGTTAGAAAAAAATATTTTTTAGAAAAAATATAAAAATGATAGATGTTAAATCAATTGACTTGTAATTTATAAGTATAGAGATAGAGATTTAAACAAAGGTAACTTATATTATTCTTTGGTTACTACTGTGCAGATACTTATCAGGTGTTGGTTATTAATCGAACCGACCCTTTACTCGAAGTTTCTCAGCCTCTCGCCCCATTTGGTTATTTCCTTCGATTTGAAACCAATCTAAACTGTTTTTTCGGAACGGTTCCGGTTCGGTTCTTCGAGTTTGGATTTGTGCCCAGGAGATTATTAATGTGTTTAACGTTTATAAACAAAAACGCTAAGGACCTATATAGTTAAATACCAATAATGAAGGGACCGTTTCTCAATACATTAAAAATACCCCAAAAACAAAAAGAATTCATCATAATCTTGTTCACCGAATCTTCTGCTAGATTGTCCTTTGTTTCGAAGAAGAAGAAGTAGTCAAAGACGATACACAAAAATGGCGCCATCATCTTCCTCCTCTTACCTCTTCCTCCTCGCGATCATCATCTCTTTCCTCTCAATCTCCAGCATCGCCGCTCGTCCCTGCAAAACCTTCCTCATCTCCTCCTATTCCCTCTCAATAACCCCAGAAAACCCTAACCCCGAATCCGATCTCTCCTCCACTCGATTCGTCACCGTCTTCACAATCCGCCGTCTCAATCCCCACCCAATCGTCCCTTTCTTCGTCAATCGCCGCCACGGATTCCTCCCTTCCGCCGTCGAAAAGCCTCAGATCCAACGATCGGAGGAGGATCGTACCCAACCAGCCTTCCCTCTGATCTTCGATAACATCAATTCGTTCAGAGATCGCACCAGAGACATCCTCAGCGTCGTCGTGGCTCTCTTGTTCGGCGTCGGATGTGGTGCCCTAACTGCCGCGACTATGTACCTCGTCTGGGCTCTCGTCGTGAATCGCCATAGCTACGATTTCGAGGAGGATGATTACGAGAACGATGAATCTGATCAAGCTAGCTTGAAGAAACTAGGTTACGTCAAGATCCCCGATCCAACTCCAGCTCCTGTGAAGGAAGCTGCTCCAACTCAAGCTGTTTAATTTGAGGTTGCTCTTATCCTAATACCCAAACAGTAAAAAAGAAAACAAAAAAATTCCTTTTGTGAATTCAGTTTCTGCAGAATTTATCATCATGAGTGCCTTGCTTTTACGTTGTTGTGTCTCTTATCTATGTTGCGTATCAGTAAATTCGAGTATTTTATGGATTTATCTAAACCTAATATATGATTTGTAGTTGGATGTTTATATTATTTATAAGTGTGATTATGATGATGTTGGGTTCTTGTATGCAGTTAGCTTCTATAGGTTTATTCACTATCGTGACAGCTAATACTCAAAATGGTCTTTGATCATGTAGACTTTGTTTTAATCGTCTTTTGAGTCGGTTTCGATTTCAAGAACTCTTTTTTTCTTGTTTTCTTTCTGACTCGCTAGTTTTTAAGTGGGATCTTGTGTGGTTTTTACAGACTTCAAACATTTTAAACTCCTGGGTGATTAGTTTCTACTGCTTAACGACAGTTTAGTCATCTTTATGTATCTCTAGGGCTTAAAGCTTGTGTTTTTTGAACTAAGGTAACTTTAGTGCCTTGTGTTCTTTCTAGATCTATCGAACTTTTGGTTCTTGTGTTTTGCTCTAAGTCTAGCCTTGAGTCTGCGTATTAACACAACTTCTTGTTATAGCCTCATCTATAAGATCATTTTGATTGCTTGTTCCATGTTAGATTATTTCTTCTAATCCCAACGATGTGTAAGTCTTTTTTTTTTTTTTTGTCTTTTGGGTAACAAGAAATATACAAATTTTTGCTTTCAATCTACTTTACTCTGATCATATATTAACAACATTCTAACTTTTGAACATAATTTGATTATGTGAGCAAATCTTGGTCCAGCGCAAAATTCTTACAGTTCTCCCTTGATCCATTGTGTGATCATCCTAACCTATCTTTTGAAAGATTTGACAACTACTAACACAACACAACAAAAGAAGAGTAAAATAATGATTAACGTGAGTTAACATTAGCTAAACACAGGATGTCATTATGTCTAATACAGTGCCGTTTAAGTCTTAGACCCAACTTGCGAAATGGGTACACACACATACATATAAACGTCCAAATGAGAGAAGTACAAAGAAGAAACAGACGAAGAGAGATGGATCCTGTCTAGAAATGGGTCAGGTTCTGTGGGAAGGATCCGTTGCTGCCTTCTCCATGTTCACCCATTTTCTGCACATCTTCCGGCGATAGTATCTTTATGTACCAAACGCTATTCACAAACGACCTGCACAATTTCACCATTTCAAAATAATTTAGGTTTGGGCAAACTACCCGGAACCAAATCCAAACTAAACCGAACTGAGAAAAACCGAACCAAATTGTCATAAAAATCTGAATGGTTCCTTGTTGAGAATATTTTGGACATCCAAACAAAACTAGAACCGAACGCCAAACCGAATGGTTATCCCAACAATATATGAAATCATGTATATAAAAAAAATATTAGTTATACTTAGACTTTAAGTACTTAACATTATAGTTTTAAACTCATAGATATTAGTAATGTTACAATAAAAAAAACCAAAATATTCAGTCCTTACTTAAATTTAATAAAATTAAGCATTTTTTAAACCAAATTTTATCAAAAATTATTATTTCAAGTACCCGGAACCAAAACCTACCTGAACCGAACTGAACCAAAATTCGTTCCGTTCATAGATGGGTCTTAAATATCCCTACCCCAAATACCCAAAACCGGACATAACGAACCCGAGAACCCAAACGCCCATGGCTAAATTTTCAATCAGAGTTTTTGAAACTTTTGATCAGACATATGGAAGAGGAGGAAGAGAAGGTTACTAACTCCCAAGGATCATCGCCGAGAAGAAGAATGTCATCCTCCTTGTCCACGAATACAAGCTGCCAGCCTGATCTAAAGGCGTCTTCCAACAACCCTTTGATATCAAACATCTTACCCAACTCTTCTCTCAGCTCATTATAGCTACTGAACCGAGATATGTCGAGCGATCTCCCCACCGAACCAGATTTATAAACCTGCACATAACCACAACTACTACTGTTATATACACAAACAGACAAATGGGTGTAAAAAAAATGAAAACTTTACTAATGCAATCACCTTAACAAAGTTCTTTGTCTGTCCTCCAGCCCCATGTGGTGATAATTCGGGAGTGTATAAACTGTTCTGGAATTCAGAATCCGTTAGTGGCATTGGGGAGGTGTCAGTACTGAAACGAGGAACCGTGGTGGGGAGGAAGAGTCCAGAGTCCGATGAATCAACGCCGAAAAGAGAGAGGTTTTGAGTATTTGGTGGTGGTGGTGGTGGTGGTGGTTCTAGAGAAGGAGTTGTTCCTCCACCGTAGGCTTGTCGAAGAGACAATGGCTCGGAGAAATCGTTACTTTCAGTGTGAGTGTGTTGTTTATGAGACCAGACCTGTGTCTGTAATTGCTCGTCCTGTACAGACTGACCAGTTATTGAGAAGTTCAAGAGGTTGCTACTATCTCCAGAGCCTTGTAAGGTCGAGTTTTGCTGCTGTACTGAAGTGAATTTGTTGTTCAAGTCTGCAAAATCCGATTTCATGAACGAAGGTGAAAGCAAATCCGAATGCTGCCACACACGGTCTGGTTGTTGCGGTTGTGCAGCAACTACTTGGTTACTAACTTCTTCTCGCAGATTCTGGTGAGGAAGATTCTCAGTTTGTTGTTGCAGAAGATGACGTGGGAATTGCTGCTGTGGTGTTGCTTGGTGATGTTGCTGAAGCAGCAAATCGGAATTGTGAAGGTATTGGTGGTTTGGCTCTTGGAGCTGCACAAACTGCTGTTGTCTTAGAGGATCTCCTCCGCCTCCGATGTTTTGCAAACCGGCTGCTGCTAACATTGCTTGGTACTGCTGATTCTGATCAGTTCCTAGTAGAGTATGGTCGAGCCTCTGTTGCATCCATGGGAATAAACTAGCAGATGGATAGTTTAAAGGAAGTAAGCCATTCTCTCCAGCTCCACCTCTAAGCCATGTTAAACCACTTGCTATGTCTCCTCTGCCATCTGTAACATTTAGAACAATTATGTAAACTACCTAAAAAGAGAAAACATTATTTTGAGTATGAAAATTTTCCCCGGAAATAAACAATCTTTACTATCACTCAGGTCTAAGAGATTTGTTATTTAAACATGCAAGCATTTTCAAGCATTAGGAAGAGAGGATGAAGCATGCAAAACACAAACTCAGCTATAAACACCAGAAAAAATTTTTTGTATGGTTTTAAGGAACCAAAAATGGAATCACTAAACAATCTACAAGTTGAATATATTCATGTTCGTGGTCACGAGTTAAGTGAAGAACACATAAAACATTAAACAATGTCTATCTACACCATTTTAAACAGCACATTTATCTGAGCAACGAGTTAAGTAAATGTTACATATAAGGATTCATTTAAACTGTCAAAAGTCAACAAGACCCTCAAAGCTAACCTGGCATAAATCTAGAAACCTAACATGCTGACAAACAAATTTTCAAGCTGCATCACTATGCGAATGCAACAGTTTTGATCTTATCTTCCCCAACAAATATGAGGTCAGTAGTTAGTCTAAGCATGATTGTTTAATATCCTACAAACAGGAGGAGGCCGATGGTGGATACCGTGCAATGACGATGCGCCTGGATGCCAAGGACGCTTTAGCCTGAGAGGAAACAGTGATGGATACATGGGAAAAGTGGTAAGAGGTTCAATCTCCCATAAAGAAGCTCTAGCCTGTCTGTCTCCAGCGGTTGATTCATCCCATCCAACCTATATCAAGAAATGTTTGGATCTTTCAATGTTATATGGGATTCTTTAGAAAAAGTTTATCAGCTTATAGAAAAATACTTTTACATATTTACAGGCTTTCTTTCATGCATTCTCTTAACAGGATCTCAAAAACTAAGATGGCTTAAGGCCTTAGCATAAAAAAAAATACTAGAAGATAGAGTAAACTATTGAAACAAGATATGAACTACCTTAACAGACCGCCAATGAGAGTTTGGCCAACGAACAGAATCCAGATCGCCGATGCTAGTTATAGTACCCATGTACCTGGATTCAGAATATGAGTTGTTAACATGAGTGTGACACAATGATAGAATCTTCTTAGTGCCAGGAAGCAGAAAGAAACTTCAGAATTGCATTTCAAGTTGAGTTTACCTTCGAACATTTGACTCTTCAGTCTCAAAGAGCATACGAAAGCGCATCCCGACTGAAATACGCGTGTGGAAAACAGCCTTGATGTACTTGGGAAGTGGTAGCACAAACTCAGATGAGCTAGACCTGAACATGAAGAGAATATGAGTGGGAGATTTATCAGATAGTGCGAAGCAAAAAGCAGTAGAATCGGTTCATACCTTGGGTGATAAAACACTGTGAAACAGCTATTAGTTGCAGCCGCGTGAGCAGCGGCGGCTAGGAGTCCGATATGCATGCTATCACTAGATAACATAGAGGATGGTACAATAGTCTGTGGTCGACTCGCATGACGAATTCCCAAAAGGAGTTGGTTCCTCTCGTTCCTGAAAGTAGGAAATAAGGTTAATACGGTGAGCAATAATCAATATGCACTAAAGGAGTATACACCGGGAAGAGTAAAACCTGATGAAAATTACAGAATCTCCAGTTACAAGTCTCTTGGCACTGACGAAAACACTCCATCCAGTTGTTAGCAGATGCCGTTTGGGCTGTCCTGCAAAAATACACCAGGGAAATGTAAGAAAGTGGCAAAGAGAGAACAACAAAAGAGACTTCAGTAGTACTTTGATATATAACTACTAGAATGCATAAACTTTATCTATAACACATAACCGAACAAGGGAGTGGGAGCAGAAGGCCATTGCAACTGTATATATGCATTTAACATATATCAAATAAACAATTTGAAAATCTAATTTCGTTTTGCTCGTTGGTCTCTTGTTAGTATCAGTATGTTCGAGACTTCCCCAAAAACTAATTTGATAAGTTTGAAGATCGGATCTCTCCCCCTTATCTTTACTCTATATTGAATCAAAGAACAGAACGAGTATCAATGGAAGATATCGGATGAGTTCTCCGATCAACTTCCCTCACGATCCAACGATCGCCTCAAGACCTACGTCTCCAATACACTTCAGTTCTTCGATACCCAAAAACTAAAACAAACACTCCCGCTATATAAGCGATGAAAGCATTCTCTCCTTCCAGCTCAGCATAATTCTGCCAGCTCAGCACTTAGGATCTATGCTTATCATAATCTTCCAAAGTTAGCTTACAATAACATCATTCTTTTTGGATTGTTTCTCACTTCCCTTCTTTTTTATCTACACTTCAAACAACCGCCTAAAACTAGCTATGTAGGATACATAAGGCGTATACCAATTCCAGAACAGAATACATAACCTTGTTCTTGCATCAAAATGATATGCAGAAAGCTTCTTCTCAAAACTTACTTAACAGCTAAAACATTATGCATTAAACGGTACCAAGGATTAAAATCAACTAGACAACGCAACTATAAGTAGTCAAAAGGATGGACTCAAAGAATAAGGGCGAAACTACTTACCCCGAAAGATATGCCTAAACTTCCATTCATTATCATGAAGATCTCTCGCAATCAACTCCTGTGCCGGTGGCTGCTGTGTGTAATCCTGTAACAGAGAAAGAGGCAAGGTATCTCAGGGAAGTACATATCTCACAGTATTAGTATTAGCCAGTATACTACGCAAAAGCACATACCAATGGAGGAAAAACTTTCTCAGCAGCGCGTCTAGGAACAGAAAACCCTCCGTGTGTACTGGTATCACTCGCAGTGAGCGTCTTGCAGAAGTAATTGCTCGGTTGCTTGCTTGGAATCCCCAACTCAATCGGTACAAATGTATCCTTCTGCTCCTCCTAAACACCCAAAGCAGTAACTAAACAATCAATGACAGCTCAAAAAGCGTCATTGCATTAACCAAAACTATTCTAGAGGCAAATATTAAAACTTTCACCTGTGTTAATGGTTGAAGTATTAAACAATCAATGACAGCATTAACCTAAACTATATTAGAAGCATATGTTAAAACTTTACCTGTGTTAATGGTTGAAGTATCATTTGAGCATACACCTCATCAGTCTCCACGTCTGCCTAAAAAAACCACAAAACAAAAACCCATACTTGCATTACAACACAACATCCCAAAAACCCACTTCAGTTATTGAGAGAAAATGACAGGGAGCTAACTAAAACCACGCACATGCATTGTAACATTATGGAGCTGACATATTAGTTGTGGTGGTAGACTTGGGTAATTGGGTATGTGACCCTCGACTTCCTTATTAGTAGTAGCAGCAACCTATAAATAGAAAAAAAGGCTCTTTAGCTCTGAGACTTTCTTTGCAACTTTCATCGTCATAAATGCAACAATCTAAAAGAGGAAAAACATGATTAAAGATTGGTCTCAAGAAGAACCTGTTCGCTGTGACCTTGTGGAAAGTAAACAACTCTGCTTCCAGATGATGGAAGAGAGACCAATGGTCCAGCACAAGCATGCCATAGCTCAGAGTTAAGACACTTCTTCTCTCCTGGTAACAATACACGAATCAAGAAAAAAAAAATAGAGTCTTGAAAATGGAATTAGGAAGCAAAGATACGATTTTTACTTACCGTCGTGACTCTGGTGACCAAACCCAGATGTTGAAAGATTCATGTTTCAAAAGAGTAGAAAAACCCCCAAAATTTGCTTACTTACTAAAACTGAAATTAGCAAAAACCCTAATTTCCGTACAATTTCTTCATTTCCAGCTACTACACCAGCTATAAATCTTCAGCTCAAGCAAGACGAACTCGTCTTTCTCCATCTCCTTTCTTATTCTACCTCTCTCCCCCCCCCCCCCCCCCCCCCCCCCCCCCCCCCCCCCCCAAAGATTCACACTTTTCTTATCTCACCGTCAAATCAGAGAAAACCCATTTCTCAGAGCTCGAAATCGGACTTTTAGACCATTGGAGCAGGAAGGAAAAAGGCAGTGAAAGTACGCATTGGAAAACTCAACTGCAAGAACATTCGAGGAAGAGACAACAAAAAAACTTGCAGTCAAATCTTTTTGTGGAGAAAGGAAGAGAGAAAGAGGAAGAAGATAAGGAAAATCTGTCTCACTTCGCTTTCCGTGGCATTAAAATCGCTCGAAGCAGTTTCCGTCGCTGTCTAGGCTTTTCAAACTGTAGTGAGAGAGAGAGATGGGTAAGAAAGAGATATTTCACATTTTATATTGGTGTCTATTGTCGGATCGAGAAATTACGGAGCGGGTTATTCGGATAATTATTTTAGATTTTGTTGTAATTTTGGAAGCTTTATTGTTATTCAAACTTTTTTATTTGATAAGAATATGGATGTCAATTTGGACCAAAGTCCGAAGCCCGGTCTGACCCGACTTTGAAAAATATCGGGTTTGTGCTTTAATATAAAAGCCCAAAAAAATTGGTATTTTTGGGCAAAATCCATTCGGACTAAGCTTATTTGAGCTTAAATCCGATCAGTTTTGGACTTACCCGAAAAGTAATGTACTTTATATTATAATTTTATTTAGAAATTTTTATTAATAAATTATCTTCACAATTTTAAAAGGTTAGAGTTATTAATTTTAAAAAATTAGAGTTATTAATTTTTTTATAATACTCTTTATTAATATAAAACCTTAATTTTTAGTTGTGTGCTTTCATATAACATCAATGCTCAAACTAAACTAGTTTCAAGAAGCACTCATACCTTCATCCCGAAGATTTTCATCTCGATTTTGCCGTTTCCACTATTTACATAACTTATTTATTTAATTATATTTGATGTTAGAATTTATATGAATTTATAAGTTAAAGTTTTGCTTTCAGATTTGATAAATTTATTTAATTTAATTAAAAAGCTCGAAAAAGCCCGAAAAAGTTTGATAACCCAGTTAGGATCAGATCGGGCTTCAAAATATAGACCCGATATATTATCGGGCAGGACCGGACAGGGCCAGGCTTAAATATTTAGGGCTTTATGTATTTCGGGCCGGACCGGACCAGCCCGTTTGACATGCCTAGATAAGAAACAGATTCAGGAAAATAGCTAAAATTTTTATTCAAACATTTATTAATTTGAATAAAAAACCGTTAAGACATTTATTTTAGATAGTTGTTGTAATTTTGGAAAAATTTGGATAAATTTTGCATAATTCTAAAATATATTTAAATTCTAAAATAGTTGAAAGAGAGGAACTTTACGTTTTATATTGGTGTCTACTATCTGGATGGAAAATTACAGGTGAAAAACTTAGAAATGAATTATTCAAATATTAAAAATATATACTATTTGAAAGTTAAAAGAATGAAAAATCTGGTAATGGAATATATTCAAAAAATTCGGATGCTAAAATCATTATTCAATGATTGAAATATAAATTTTACATAGTTCTACCATAAAACTTCTATAAATTAATAATGTTGGGACTTCAAAAATTTTATTAATTTATAGAGTTATTAATTAATTAAGAGATATTTCAGTTTAAATTCAAAATATTTGTCAATAAACAAAAAAAAAGTTTTCAAAAATGTAAAATTTATTCAGAAAATATCATATCAGTGAATTTAAAAAATAAGTCAAACAATTTTTATAAACTTGAAACAATAATAATTTTATATTTTACTATATTATATTATTTATATATGCTTAAATGTATAATTACTAATTTATCTAATTAATGGGATAATTTTTTTATATAGGAGTTTCAAAAAAATTATTATCTTATTATCTTATCAAAATTTTCTAATTTTTACACTGGTCTGACTTGGAACCGGTAAAAATTAATAATTGATAAAAATTATTAATTTCTAGTAATTATTAATTTGTCGAGTATTAATTTATAGAGGTTCTATTGTAGTAATTTTGAATTTTTTAAAGAAAAAAACAAAAATTGGTATAATTTTGTGATTTTTTAATTTAAAAAAATTCTAAAATAAGTAATTCAGATATCTATTTCTTATCTCATTTGTTTCTACATTGGTTGAAATATATTACTGTCATAATTTTTTTTTTTAGCCATGCTAATCTTCTCTGTATCGTTTCAATTTTATCGGATGTCAATGAAAGGACTATTGTCATAGATTTGTAATTATTAAATAGAAATGGTATAATATAAAATATATATGGATATCTGAGTTAATTCTGATAATTTCAAAATAATTAGAAAATTTATAATTTAGAGTAATCTTATGTTAATTTGTTTCTATTTATATTAAATTATATTATGTTGTTATTTGCTTAGATTTATCTTTTTAAAAAAAAAATTAACTAAAGAAATTTTCCAATTTTAGTAGATTATTTTTTTAGAAATTATTTTTTACTTTTTAAACTATGCATTTTTGTTCTATACCCATAAAATTTTATTTCATATCTTAAAATACTGAGAACTTGGATATGGAATCAACCTGAACTTTTGTATGAAAAGGTTTTTTTTTCTCTCCTGAGAGTGAAAACAAAAGCGATAAGGTTTCTTAACCCTCATCACTGCCGTCGGTGGGCCTCACGCCTCTCCGTCGAGAACTCTTCACCTCCCCACTTCCTCCATGTTAAATGAATCAATCTCTCATGAATCGCAAGAAAAAGAGCCATCGCGCTCTTGTGGAATCCTCAAAGCTCGCGCGAGTTCTAAGTACTCCCTCCGCCGCTACTATCAGCAAAATTAAGAATTCGTCTCCTTCCTTCGCCGGTACCTCCAATACCGGTGCATTGGCAACCGATTCAGATGCTGCCGAGACTGATTCAAGTCCTCTCTCTGTCCATGCTCACCAGGTCTTGGACATTGGTCAATCTATGGACTCGGCCGGTGAACCAGGCTCAAATCCGGGGTTCATGTGGCTCCTTCAACGGATCTCCTTCCTACTCATTCATTAGATGAGGATAACAAAACAAATCTCGGTTCCGTCCCCACAACCTGAGAGTCCGATGAAAGATACTAAGGTATGTCACCCCTGGCCCGAAATTGGGCAAGCCTGCTTAAGGATTCAGCCCATCTTGAGGAAATTGGAACGCTTTCTGAACATATTTCAGGAGTGCCGTTTGTGTTTATCCCAGATGAGAACATTGAAGCAGCTAAGGAAGAATTCAAAGAGATCATCTTTGCTCGGTTCCATGGCAACTCTCCGCCAATGGGACGAATTATTGGTGTCGTCAACGCGCTTTGGGCTAGGACGGGGCCACAAATATTTGTCCACTGTATTAGGCAAGGGATCTATCTTCTCCGTGTAATTAACGATAGAACCAGGGAAATACTCCTCGCTTGAACCTTTTGGAACATTGCAAGCTATCCAATGTTCGTAGCTCCCTGGTCTTCGGACTTCAACCCGGAAGAAGCTCTATTAACATCGGCAGTGGCCCCCGTCGAGCTACGGGATGTTCCATATCTGTTATTTAACAAGGAAAGCCTCAGCCGGATAGCAACAGCTCTGGGCAAGCCTGTCTCCCTAGCACCTGAAACAGAGCAGAAGGAAAATTTTCAGGTTGCCAAGATGTATGTTCGAGTCAATTTGACTAAGTCTCTCCTAACTAAAATCATCTCTAGTTTCTCCAACGGCCGTGAAATTCAAATAGCTGTCTCCTACCCATAGCTCCCTTTGAAGTGTGATCTCTGCGGGAATCATGGCCATCGCAGGGAGAGCTGTCAGACACCACAATGTGATGTCTTAGGTGGTCGAAAAGAGGAAAGAAGCTCCCCATCTGAGTCTATCTGCAAGCGATCAAAATTGCTATCGGGTCATTCGCGCGAGCTTAAAAATTCTTTTGCTGACTCGGTCGCACCTCTTGCATCGCCGACGGTCAGTCAGGAATTTTCGACACTGATCAAGCTGCTGATAGGTGTCAAAGTCCAAAGGGCAAGGATAGAGTTTTCGAAGAAAATCAGGCTGCACCAGAGGGTCGGGACAGGAATACTTGTGACCCTTCACCTTCAGAGGTTGAGCGTTCATGTGAGGCTGCCAAATTTAGGGGATACGATCTGAAAGCATCAGGAGACATTGCAGTATTATCCCCAACGGAGGAGAAAAACCAGACTGAAGATTCATCACCATCATCTAAGCATGTTGGCACTGCAGAGGCCCCACGTGTGGTTGAACCTCCCTTCTACCTGGTTAATCGCATGGAGAGTAGCCGTAAGGCTATAAACCATCATTAAAAAAATTATAAATATGTTTTTTGCGTAGAATGTCAGAGGGCTGAATAGTGCAAGACGCCACACTGTGACTAAAGATTGGATTAATATCCATAGGCCACTTTTTGGAGCTTTTATTGAAACTCATATCCAAGAAAATAACGCTGGAAGAATTGTACAGTCTATCCCGGCTAGTTGGAAGTTTTTTGGGAATTTTACTCACCATGATTCAGCTAGGATCGTGGTGGTTTGGGACCCCTTTGTTTCTGTCTTCATCTACCAAGCTTCAGCTCAGGCAGTAACTTGCGGTATTTTTATCTTAGCTGAGAATGTCAGTTTCACGGTTATGTTTGTCTATGGGTTTAACCAGGGAAATGAGCACCAGGGATTATGGGAGGAACTTTCTATCTTGAATGCCACGACCCCTGCAGCAAGGTTTCCGTTGACTGTCATCGGAGATTTTAATCAAATCATACAGTTAAATCAGCACTCCAATCATAATGCCTTGGTTATTGATACATTCGGGATGGAAGAGTTCAACCTTGCTATTCAAGATGCGGATTTATTTGAGGCCCAAGAAAAATGGTTACCTTACACTTGGTGGAACAATCAAGCCATAAATCCTATATCGAAAAAGATTGACCACGCTCTCATAAACCAGGTCTGGGCTTCTTTCTTACCAGATTCTTATGCGGAATTTCTGGAACCGTTGCAATCAGACCATGCTGCATGCCTTTTCAGACTTCCGTCTCTTCGACGCCAAGTCTGTAAGCCTTTTAAGTTCTTTCACCATGTAATCGATCACCCTCAATATGCAGACTCGATCAATGAGGCTTGGAATTGCGGAGAGATCACGGGCTCGGCTTAATTTAAGCTTGTACGATCAATGAAACTGCTTAAGAAGGTGCTAAAAAACTTCTACAAGAGGCATTACAGTGGCATCTCGGAGCGTGTGCGAGAGCAAGCTGCAAAGGTTGGTGTTCTTCAGAGAGCCCTCCTTACTAGCCCAAATCCCTTCGTCGCTACTGCGGAGCATCCGGAAAGAGTCAAATGGCAACAACTTCTAACGGCAGAGTCAAAGTACTATCGACGGCGATCGCGTGTTAGATGGGCGGATGTTGGTGACAAGAATACCGTTTTCTACCATAGAACAGTTGCTCAAAGAGTCCCTCGAAACCACATCCACTTCCTCAACTGCAGGAATTAAGTCCTACTCTGCTGAGTACTTCGAGGGCATTCTGGGATGCACAGATCTCCCCATCTCTCCTTCGATAGTTCCTGCTCTACAAGGCCTTCTGCTTTTTCGCTTTTCTGGGGATCAAAAGGCGGATTTGCAGAAAGAGGTCCTCGATGATGAAATCAAGGCAACTATCTTCTCTATGCCTCTAAACAAGAGTCCGGGTCCGGACGGTTATTCCGTGGAATTCATGTGTGCCTCTTGGGATAAGGTTGGTTCAGACGTCATTGCAGCTGTGCGTGAGTTCTTCAGGAATGGGAGGCTGTTGAAAGACCTTAATATAACATCAATCACTCTCATCCCTAAAAAGCCGGAGGCTTGTAAATTAGATGATTATCGGCCTATTAGTTGCTGCAATATAATCTACAAAGTGATATCAAAGATCATAGCCAATCGACTCAAGCCTATTCTCCAACATTGTATAAGGCCAAACCAAGCTGCTTTTCTCAAGGGCAGAAGTCTTGGAGAAAATGTCCTTCTCGCCTTAGAGCTAATCTGAAATTATTTTAAGCAAAACTGTCCAAAAAGCTGCATGGTCAAGATTGATATAAGGAAAGCTTTTGATACAGTATGTTGGGATTTTGTGACTAAGTTGTTGGAGGCATAAGATTTCTCCACTATCTTTATAACGTGGATTCGGGAGTGCATCACTTCCCCCAAATTATCTATCTCTATAAATGGGGAATTTGTGGGTTTCTTTGCCGGGAAAAAAGGCTTGCATCAAGGTGATTCTATCTCCCCGTATCTGTTTATCATGGTTATGGAAGTGCTCTCAACACTGCTAGGAAGGGCGGCTGATCAAGGCTCCCTGAAGCTACATCTGATGTGCTCTTCGCCGAGGATCACGCACCTGTTGTTTGCAGATGATCTGTTAGTGTTTTCTGATGGTTCTGCGGACTCTTTAGCGGGGATAAAAGAAGTTATGGCAAACTTCAAGGATATGTGTGGGTTAGATATGAATGCTTCAAAATCAGAAATATTCTTTGGCGGCTACAAACCAAGCACTACGGAAGCTCTAAGTGGCCACTCTGGTTTCAAGATTGGCTCATTTCCGACAAGGTATCTTGTCCTTCCCCTCAATCCGCCGAAGATCTCATTTGCCACCCTTCAGCCTTTTCTGGAGCGGGTAACCTCTAAACTGCACTCATGGACTGTCAAGGCCCTCTCTTTTGCGGGTAAAATCAGGCTTATATCCTCTGTAATATATGGAATGGTCAACTTTTGGAGCTCTATCTTTGTTCTTCCCAAGAGGTTCTATGAGAAAATTGACTCCTTATGCTCTGCTTTTCTCTGGAAAAATAAAACAACGCCCGGTTCGGGGGCGCGCGTCTCTTGGACGGACATTTGTAGACCAAAACAGGAAGGAGGTATGGGTATAGAAAACTGGATAATTTCCAGATGGTTTTCAGGTTGAAGCAACTCTGGAACTTCTTCTCCAATTATGGATCTCTATGGGTTGCCTGGCTGCATCAAAATATTTTTCACAGGAGAAGTTTCTGGATAATGTCAGAAAATGCTCAGCGACTTTCCAACACTATTAGGAGTATGCTTCAGACTAAACATCTCATATCCGACTTCCTGCGCTGTAAGATTGGAGATGGAAACTCAGCTTCCTTTTGGTATGTTTCCTAGACAAATAGGGGGCCTCTGATTTCGTTTATTAGCTCAAGGGGTCCCTCTCAGCTTCGGCTCCCCTTGGATGCGAGAGTTTCTCAAGCAACAAGAAATAGGGAATGGTTCTTACCTAATCCTAGATCAGAGGAGGCTCAGACGCTTCAGATTGATCTGACCACCATTGACCCCCATACAGCGTCTAAAGGAAGTGATCAATACCTCTGGCGCAATGCTGCATGTCTTTTTGTTCCTGAATTCTCTTCTAAGGCGACTTGGGACCACCTACGAGAGCACTCTCCCCATGTTATGTGGCACTCTGCGGTTTGGTTTAAGGAGGAGATTCCTCGATGCTCCTTTATCACTTGGTTGGCGATGCTATCAAGGCTTCCCCTAGGGACAGGCTTCGCTCATGGGGGATGACGATTTCAGATCAGTGTGTTCTCTGCTCATCCAGTCTGGAATTGCATAAACATTTGTTCTTTGAATGCCAATTATCAGCCGACATCTGGTCCCACTTTGTGGGCAGTTTATCTCCTCTCCTCCTAGTGATCTGACCTTTGTTGTGGCTTTGCTAAATCAAAGCCTTTCTGGCCCCAGTCCTGCCTTCTCGATCGTCCTCAAGCTTCTTCTGCAGGTAATTACTTACCACTTATGGCGAGAGCGCAATGCCAGGATCTTCACAGACATTCGCTCCCCCGCCGCTACAGTCTTTGCCATGGTGGATCGATCGATGAGGGACATGTTGCTTTCTTTTCCGGCAGCAAATGCAAGTTCTCCTTCCCTTTTAGAACTTTATTTTTGGACTTTGGGTTCGTTAAGTTAATCTCTCCCGTTTCTCTCTTCTTCTCTTTATTGTCTTGTAATAAGTTGCTTGCAACAACTCTGTATTCGTAAATCGGTTTAAATTTTAATATTTACACCCAAAAAAAACTTAGATATGCATACAACAAAAAAATTGAGACGGATAGAGCAATTTACAAGGGACCCCGGCCCCCGGGTGGGTTGGAATAGACCCGACTGAACCCGGTGGATCTTAGCAGAGAAGAGAGAGTGAGGGACCTACTCAACAAAATTATGAGCGGTGGTATGGTGTCAGTACTATACAGTGTCATCACCTCACTTTTATCTCTCACAGTCAAATATTATTTGTTTGGTTAATACGATTTTCATATTACTTTTTAGAAAAAGCGATAAAGAAAAAGTTATTAATAAGTGAATTATTTATTTAATAATATAAAAACTGTTATATTTGAATAGAACAAATGAATGAAATATAATGTATTTTTAAATTGAAAATTTAAATTTTGAAAACTATGAGAAAAGCTTTAATTTATGAGTTGAAGATAACAACATAAACAAAAAATAATATATATATATATAATGTGAATTATCGAATATTCTAATGATAAAAATATATATTGTTTTACTAAATTATATAGTTGTGTCGCATTGTGTGGAAACTTTTCTAGAAGGATAAATAGATCTAATTCAGCACATGTTAGATTTTTTTTATTTGCTAAAGACACGTGTAAATATAAATTAGATTCTAAACATAAGAAATCAATGCAAAATCTTATTTTCTTTTAAGCTATTTTAAATATTCAAAAATATTTTACAAATGTAAATGGGTATGTTCTCCTTCTTTTTTCTAAAAGATTTAATAGACATGTTTTTTGGTATGAATAAACTTTGTTTCACAAGTTCGTCTATTGAGAAATGAATAGTAATTAGGTATATCGGTGTGCATGTCATCCCGAATCACTTAGCAACATGTAAGGCAGCTTTCGATAGGATATGAAAGAAATTTTTGATTCTTCGATGCTCAAAATAGATGTACATTACTACGAATAGATATTCAGAAGAGTATGGTTTTGGTGAGGTGTACTAGGTGGAATCTCACATCTCCAGATCGTGATATTCATCTGTTGTTTGGTGATGATCTAGATGACTGTGATCCGACATGAGAGGGGTCTCTCTTCCCAGGTGAGGTGAGGTGAAGGAGTGGGAAAACATTTACTTTGGCTGGCAATCTTTTTACGATCGACTGGGTAAGTCTTAACCATGAGATATTGTTTGACGGATCTGGAGATTATAGGAAGAATTGGGGTTGGACCTCTCTTTCTTTGTTCTAGGACAGTTCTTGAACTCTTTCTGGATCTTTCTCTTATCCACTTTTTAGCATTTTTTTCTTATATCCTTCTTCTTTTGCTATTGAATCTTCATGCTCTATTTATATTCCCCACTCCTCTCTCCATATTGGTTAAGCCCATCAGTCGATTGGTCACATCATCATGTGAATCGAGGGATACCTTCCCCGCCGGACCAACCCCGCTCGTCTCACCAACTACGCCCAATGATGAAGTCTACAAAGAGGATATCTGGCTCATTGTTTGTTACTACAAAAAATATGATGGAAATCATCACTAATAAAGTGTAAAAAAAATAAAAATATATATATATTTTTATAATTAATTATTAAAAATTGATACTAAATATATAATTTTATATCAGTTAAAATAATTAATATTAACTTGATTAACATCAATTAAAAGAAATTTGATACAAATCAATATTAATTTACATTACTTTTTAAAAATTAATACAAATATATTCCATTTATTTCTAAAAATTTGATTTTTTAGTATTTTTTCACGGATATGAAGAAATAATCATTATTTAATTTTCTAAGTTACTTTTTGTTTGTTTTTCAATTTAATATTGACTTTTTGTATTTTTTTACTCAAAATACTTTTATTAATTATTCTTGAAAAAGGAAATATTTTATATTAATTTTTTTTACAGAAACAGCTCTGATATGATATCACACGTCATGTAAGAAACTTACATGTGTTACTTCTAACTCTTTTTTTTAACAAACTCTATTGAATTTTCTTTTATCAAACAAACAGAAAAAAAAAATCTTCAGTTTTTTCTCTTCTATAAACGATTTTATTTTTTATCTAACAAACATAAAAGAAAATCAAATAACTAAAACAAATCTTATATAAGATAATGATGTCATGTGTCACTTTTCTATATAATAAAGTAAAGATTTTTTTAGAAGTAGTTATGATATGTTGCCACGTGTCATATAAGAAACTGACATGTGTTATTTTTTATCTATTGAATTCTTTTCTATCAAACAAACACCAAAACAAATCTTCAGTTTATTTTCCTTTCTATAGATGGTTCTTTTTTATCCAACAAATATAAACATAAATCAAATCACTCAAACAAATCTTATATAAGATAATAAAGTCATATATCATTTTTTCTATCTATCTCTTTTATCAAACAAACACAAAACAATAATTAAGTTATTTTTTCTCAACATTATTCTCTTTCGTGATGTTTCTTACTTCACATTATTTAAGAATTTTTTTTTCACTTTTAAGAGTTAACTGTTATATTTTTTGCGCAAAAAATATATTTGTTTCTTTATTATTTTCTGTTAGCAATCAAACAGAAAATCATGCATTGTTTACTTTCGTGATATATTTTTAGATTAATGGTTCACTCATTTCTTTTTCTACTCCATCAAACTTTAAATCATCATGACTATGACAATCTCGATTCTATTCTCTAGAACTTTCTTTTCGATCATCCCTACGTGCTTCATCGGAACAGTGGTAGTTTTACTCTCCTAACAAGGTCAAACCTCATTCTCTATAAGTATTATTATTTCAAAAAATATCTTATAAAGCAGTAAGGTTTTCTCTGCAAATGGTTTTGATATGCTGCCACGTGTCACCTTAGAAATTGACATGTGTCACTTTTCTCTTTTCTTTATTTCCTATTTCTACTTGGTTTTCTTTTATCGAACTGAAATGAAAACAAAATCTTCGGTTTTTATTTTCTTCTCCAAACGATTCTTTTTCATTCAACAAACATAAATAAAAATCAAATCATCCAACGCAGTACAAATTTAATATAATATAGTAACACCAACTCTCACATTTTTATCTTTTTTTTTTGTTTTCCTAACTCTTTTGTATTCTCTTTCATCGAACAAATATAAAAAACAATGTTTCCATTTTATTTTTCCCTAACTTTTCTCTTCTTCTTTTTCTATTTTTTCCCATTTATACTAGATTTTTTTTCATCGAACTAACAAAAAAATAAAAGCTTTCGTTTTTTTATTTCATTCTCCAAATGATTCTCTCATTCAACAAACATAAATGATAATCAAACCATCCAACAAAGTACAAATCTTATATAATCTAGTAACATAAACTGTCACATTTTTTTTTTGTTTTCCTATCTATTTTGTATTCTCTTTTATCGAAAAAATACAAAAAACAAGATTCAGTTTAATTTTTATCTTCTCCACTAGATTCTCTTTGATTATGTCTCCTATTTTATATTATTTTAATTTTTTTTTAACTTTTAGGAGCTGACTGTGTCATTGTTTTTATGCGATAATAGATTCATTCTTCATATTTGTCTGTGACCAATCAAACAGAAAATCATTATAAACTGTGGGAAAACAGTTTAACACTGCTCTGCAGTTCAGATCCGCACCTACATTATAAACTGTGCGAAAACATACCCCAGCATATATTAAGATGAAGATGCTGCATACCCAAATATACAACAAACGGATAATTCATATTTTGACCCAGATTTCTATTAGTCTACTATTATTGGAGTCTGACGTAGCAATTACGTGGCATTGACGTGGCTTGGTTAACAAAACGAGGTCGTTTTGCTGATTTTTTTTAGAGAAAACAATATAAAACGATGTTATATTGTAAATTCATCTTCTTCTTCGATCCACTCTGATTATACTGCTTTGCTTTCCCTTCGATATAGGGTTCAGATTAAATAGCTCGAATGTCTTCTTCATCCAAGCCCAATTCCTCTTCGGGGTCAAGTTAGTTTTGTCGTTTGTCTCATTTAATTCAGTTTATTAGTTAATTCAGGTTATTCAATCATCTGCAATTGGCGTAGGATCGACTAGAAATTGGAGGCAAAGAGAGAGAGGCTTTCCAACGATTTGCAGGTGTGGAGAAGGTTATGTGATAAGAACTTCAAGTACTTTCGAAAACCAGGAAGACTTTTCCATTGTTGTCCATATGGATCAGAACAGGTAAAATTAATTAATTCGATAATTATCGAACTGTTGTTTTACATCGAAGATAGTTGATAACGAGCTCTTTCTGTTGTAGGATAAGACTCATTTGTTTAAATGGACGGATGAATCTGTTGTAGAAGAGATAGAGGTAATGAAGAAATCCATAAGTGGTATAAAAGGCGAGTTTGAAGAAAATATGAGAATTTAACGTTTGAAACAAGAACTTGTGAAGCTGTTGTTGATAACTATGGGAAGAAGATTGATGAGTTTAGTGTTGCTCTTACTAGATTTGAGAAAGAGATAGAGGAGATGAAAGATTTGATCCACGGGTATGAGAAAGAAATTA